CTGGAGGAAATGGGGTAAGAGACAGCAGAGGAACAGGCCTGTCAGCTAAAATAATTGGATTTTAACTGCAACACCGCTCACTGTTTTGTCTGATGAGGCCCAAAATAAACTGCATTACATCACTGCAGGTCACACTGAGCTAATAAGGGTCTCTTCCTCACACTGAGAAAGGACGTTTTTGTGTCCCCTGTGTTTTCTCCAGTGCTTTGCAGTCAGAGCTCCTTCCAACTGTGTGAGTGCAGGGGAAAATTAATTCAAACTGCTGCCCGAATTATGCAAGAGCCTCATGGAATGGAAAGCGCATATTAACAGATTTTACTATTTTAGGGTGTTCTTTTATGTCTCAAAATTTATTTTGCCATCATATTTGCAGACAAATAGGAAACAAAACATAAGCCAAGTAATCCTTAGGGTGCTGACAGAAGATTGTACAAGGAAATAGGCACCTTCAGAGAAATGCTGCCTGAATAAACCACAGCTCACCTGAACAGTGACAATATGATCCAGTCCACTATAAATACAGGAATACAATCCAACAGAGCCTGAAGCCCCAACCATCACTGACTTTGCTAATATGCCCAAAATTTTGCCTGTGTGTTCCAGCTTTCTCAGCAGCTCCAGTGGAAGCTCACAGACCACCTCAAGCTGCAGTAATACCACGTTATTTTACTGTGCAACCCAACAGGGCATCCCACCCATCTATGGACCTACCAGTCAAATACTCCCAGTCCTCCAACTCCCACCCCAAAGCACAGGGTTTAAACCTTCACCTGGTGCAAATCTGGATTCCTCCAACACTTTCATGGGACTTATGACAATTTTTATCAGCTGAGGAGCCCCAGCTTCCCAAGATCAGTGAATGAAAGCAGTGAAGTCAAAGTTCAAAGAGCAAACAATTCCCCTTTTCCCTCTCTTGGCCACGTTTCCATTCTCTGATCCGTAGCCTGAGATGCATCACAGCAGCTGCACCTTGACCAGTTTATATCATCACAGCTCTCCAGCCCTGTAAATACTATTCCCTTTTGGTTCCTCCACCTCTCCCTTGGTAAAAATAAATCCCCTTGATTAAGAGAAATCAAGAGCACTCAACTGAACGAACTTTCAGCAGGTCCTCTGGGAAGCATTGCCTTAACTGCCATCTATCAACAGCAGTGGAAAACAACCAAGTTTTTTTTAAAGTGATCAAAATATTTTTAAATTTTATCAAACCTTGCAATTGCCTTGAGATACAGATCCAGACTTCAATGGCAATTACAACTGTCCTTGTTTCTAGGAGAATTCAGGACCCATGCCCCATTAAACTCTGTTAGGAGGGACAGTTAGCTGGAGACTGACAGTAATTTTGCCAGTTCATTTACCAGAAGGGATAAAGCCAACCTGAAACACGTTAATGTGAGAGTCTCAGACTGGTATCATTCTGTGCTGTTGTACAAGAAATGTACTGCTAGAGAAAGGGATGTGGCCATGGTGTTAATTAGAATTGCTGGGGTGTAAATAATGTTTTGTTTCATGAAGTCTGGCTAGGGCAAACAAATTATTTAGCTCATAGTACAGCTGAATGAAGAGCTCAAATGCATAAGAGGGTGTCTCTGAGAATCGATAGTGGATCACCGAAACATTTAATCACAGTTTTACTGATCTCACTGCACCATCTGAGCTCAGACTGGCTCCTCACTCTAAAATCAATGGTGCTGATACAGTCATTAACAACAGAACCATCAGTCTGAAACACTAACGGGGTGCAGAGGAGCTGAAAGCTGGCAACAGCACATGGGATTGTGCTCCAAGGCTTCCAAGGCAAGCAAGGAACTCTAAATCTCCATTACAGGAGTTTCCACTGTCATCCCCCACCGAGGGTAAGTGGCTGTGATTGCATGTACAACAGCACATCCCAAGAGGGGCTATCTCATTTAGGGACTGAACCAAGACCCATGGATCCAGAACCATGGCTGAAGAGCTGGTTTCAATGCTCAGTGCTGCCCACACCAGGGATCTCTGCACATGGGAAGTGTCTTTGCTTCCCATTCTGATCCTGCTACCTGGCTTCACTCTGTATCGCCTGAGGCAGATGTTTCCCAGCAATCTGGGACAAATGCAAGACCCTTTGGGACAACTGTTGCCTTTGCATCCCACACTGCCTCTTATTTATCCTATTTATCTTATTTATCCCCCTCCCCAGCAGCTGTAGTTTGCTGCATCCTCCTGCCTGGCTTCCCTGCACGGCTCTCTCAGCCCTGACCTGCACATCTGACACTCCTGTCCCAAGGCTCATTTCTCCTTAGTCTGGCAGTTCAGAAGCTGTGATAGCTTCTGCTTGGCACTACAGGCTCCAGACAGTCTCTCCCCAAAGGATAATCTGAAAGACACTGAATTTCTGGCCAGGGTTTCATCAGGCTGCCTGGAAAAGGATGTTGCTCAAAACTACTCCAGTATAGCATTTTCTTATTTTTTATGCAATTATTGAACAAATATCAGAATGCAAAATAGCCCCTGGGATTGGAAAATGGAATTAAATCTTCCAGCAAACATGAGAAAATGGATCCTGACATTTCTATTAGCAACAAAATGTTTCATGCTTAGAAACTGGTAACCTGACACCGCTCCAGGGAATTCAGGAGGGTGAGGAAAAATGGTCTGAGACAGCATCAGGAAGAAACAGAGAGACAGGTTCACTCCATTGGGACACAAATGGATGTGGGGTGGGCAGGAGGGCGCCCTGGTGTCGGTGCCACCTGGGTTTGTTCAACAGTGGAAAAAAGCAGCAGCCCAGAGCCTGTGTCAGCCCCAGGCACAGGAGGTGCAGCACCACGAACAGCACGGTGACAAAACAGCCCCATGCATGGTGCAAGAACTGTCCAACACACACAGGAACATTTCTGCTGTGGCCTTGGCAGTGCTGGGTTAATGGCTGGACTCGATGATCTTAAGGGCCTTTTTCAACCCTAAAGGGTTGTGTGGTGCTCAGTGTGCTGCTTTCCTACAGGACACAGGGTGTTCCCTGGGCTCCCTTCTCAGGACACAATCCCAGCAAACAACCAACTCCCAGCCCAAGAGCTGAAAACTGCATCAGCAGCTGGTCTGCAGGACAGGCTGGGAGAAGGAGCACGTTTTGGCACAGGGTGAAGGACAGGTGGGCAGCTCCACCTGGGGGCTGTGATGGTGCAGCAGAAGGGGAAAGCTGGCACTGGGAGTTTGGTGTGTGCATCCCCAGCTTTGTTTTGTTGTAACATCGAGCTGGTCCTCCTAAAGAGGAGCCACCTGGCCAAAGCTCCTCTTGGAATTTACTGTCCAGAAGAATCAGCAAATGACATCCCAGGTGCACAGGTCATTTGGGTGGCTCCTATGCTGGATTTTGGAGATAGTGCCATTCTCAGAGGCAATTCACAGCCTAAACTCACTTATACACCACATACATGATGCCCACCAGCCCACTTCTCTTCCCCTCCTCCCCAGAGCACTGCTCACTGAAAATGGCTCACCCTCTTCTCTTCTATTCTGCATTTAATGGCTTTTGAACTTCAAAGAGAGGTGAGAAAACTCTATCATTTCAGCATGCAGTTAAATATTATGCAGCCACATTACTGAAGAACACCTACAAACTACTCTGCTAAAATAAACTCCCCTTTGAATTCTTCTTATAATATCTTTCAGAGAGCTCAGAACACGCTGCCCTTCTTCCCACATAGCACTGAAGCACCTACTTCACTTTAACCAGGTACACACTCTTCCTGGGGTTGAAAGGACTCATCATGTGCTTAAAATTATGCATTTTCCTCAAGTACTTGGTTGAATCCCAGCTTTTATATCCAGGAGTTGCACAGTAGAAACTGGAAACATTATTCTTGGGTGGGTATTATACACACATTGGCAGATACATTCCAAAGTTATCTAAGAAATCAAACTATTTATTGTTAATAGAGCACATCTGACTCCAGCAGAGAGCTTTTTTAAAAATCTTAAATAAAAATTCGCCAAACCCATTCTCTATGAATATGGACACTCTCCACACACTGTGCCTCATGTACACAATACAGCAGAGCTGAAATGCTCAAAACATAAATTGAGAATATATGAGATCAAAATTTAATTGTGGTTTTCATAACAGCAAACTGCTGGAGCTACCTACATATTATTAGTCTTGAAAAGCATCATGAAAATAATATTTTAACCTTTAATCTGTAACACGGTCTTTGCTAATAAAATTATCCCAGAGTCATCTGAGCACATAGCTGGTGTCAACTACTTAATATGCAGAATAAATTAAATGCCACTTACATATAGCAAAGAAATACCAAGCTAATTTCATGCATTTTCATGCTGGTGCAGCCACACAACAAACACAGTCAAGCTCTGCATCCCCTCTTCAAATCCTGCCCTTCTGCAAGAAAATCACCCAACGCACTGCTCTACTACCCCAGCCCCCTGCAAGGCCCCTGTGACCCTGCTGAAATGAAATGAGCTCTGAAATGAGCTCTGTCACACGAGCTGCACCTTTGCAGCTGCAGAACACTGACTGTGCTGGAGGGAGACCAGGTCCCACTGCTGACACCTGAGGCATCGTGCAAGGACAGTGGCAGATCCTTGGGAGAGTGAGGGATGTGGGGCACACACCCAACATCACCCAAACCAGGCTTCATCTCTCCAAAGCAAAAGTCACCTCGAGGACACAAACGTCCTTTATCTCCACTTCAATCCAGCTTCACAGCTCCTGCTCCCAGAAACAAACCCACTGTGCTTGGTCTGACTTGCTCCTGGTGAACAGCCCGTGGAACTCAACAGAAAGACTCTCCATAAATGATTTGTTTCCACCAGGTACCCAAATTCCCAATATCCCAAATCAAATATGCCAGGAGGGATCTTGTGCAAAAGACCACACTTATTTTTCCTACTTAATAACATCTTTTGGCAATAATCAACATAAAGAACATAGAAACAGAGAGGAAGAAAATGGAAGGTACTGGACATTAAAAAATTTATCTGCCAAAAGTGTCTTTCACTACCTGCAGAATAAGGCTCCTGCTTCTCACTGTGGATGAACTCTTTTCGTTCGTATTTGGCTCTGATCCACTGTTCCCGCAGCAGTCTGGAAAAAAAAATACAGAGAAAAGGAAAAATGGTCCAAGATACACTAAGAAAGAAGCTAGAACCATTAATTCTTAAATCAAAGCACAAGTGTGATTTAGAAGTCTTCCAAAAATTGCATTGTACAGTCTGGAGTCAAAGTTTCTTCTGCTTACTGCTGGACAACAATAAATCATTTCCTTGTACATCCAATTTTACTGGAAACTTAATTTTAAAAAATACACAGATTTAGCAGAACAGTCTGTCCCTACCCACCCAATAAGCCTCTGTAAAAAAATCCCTCAGTATATGAACCATTTTAGACCTAATTTCCTCAGACCACTTTCTTCAGTGAAGAACAGGGTCAGTAAATGAAAAAACCCAACTACAGACCAAAGAGAAGTGATTGCCCTGAAGATCTCAATACAGAAGCAGAAGGTGCTGTGTAGCATTATGGCCAAGCTCTTCCAAACTCACAGCCCACAGTGCCAAGTTTAAGAAAGCAATCCATGATCCATGGCAGCAAATATGATTAAAAAGTCCTTTACTTTTAATACTGAAATGATACCAATGATTTATACACCAAGACCTCAATTTCCAAAAAGGAAAAAAATACCCAAAGATCATAATTTTTTTTTTTTTTTTTGCTATTTTTTTTCAGCATGAGTGCTTGAACCAATGAAGTAACTTTGATCTAGAATATGCTGGAAGTTGCTTCAAACCATTTTTAACTGAACTTATTTCTTAATTGCCCTAGAGCCCTAAATAGCCCAAGCAGGCAGATCACACTCAGAAATAAAGGCATGTGTTATCCCAGCTTCACAGCAGACATTTTGGAGCAGCCTACACTGAAGACAGTAAAAGATCCCTGGCACTGGGTGTGTTTTGTAAAACCATCAGATTTCAACACATCAACTTCTCTGCCAATGAAAACCATTCCTATGCTTAATCACCTTTTCTTTTTTGCTGATTATGCAAACTAAATGGTATCATTTCAGCAGACACATCCCAGAATGTTCCAAGAACATAAACACACCAACATAGCTTATGAAAATTCATCTGCAGGTACTGCAAACACATTCAATGAATCTGCAAGACACTATCCACTGAGGGCTGTGCCTGTGATTGGTTTCCTGGCAATACAGGAGGAAATAATCACACAGATTTTGTTCCCTGCATTGTGTCAGCTCCTTGCTTGGGGCACCAGCCTTCTCCCCAAGGCTTGGGGAGCACCAGTGCTTCCCTGCCCCCAAAATCCAGCTGTCAGCTCCTGCTGTAAGGGAAACAATGCACCGAGTCTGCCTCTCCCCTTCTGCTCTTTTCCTGTTACACATCTGCAAGTTTGACTGTGACCTCTGAGCACCCATCTCCCTTCTGCTGCCATCCTGTGCTATGCTCTGCCCTGGGTGCATCCCATCCTCAGGAGGTTCAGGTGCACTTTGTACAGTCATAGAAAGGCTTGGAAGGGACCTTAAAGGTCATCTAATTCCAACTCCCCAGCTATGGGGTTGCTCAAATGCCATCCAGCATCCAAGGGGGCTCCTCTGGCTCCAGCAGGATGCCTTTTCTGGATCTGATATCCACAAACATGGAAGCCTGATGACCCAAAAGGTGGCACTCAAATGCCTGTTCTATATATTGGTGTTGCTAATCAGCAGAGCTACCAAAATTTAATCATAAAATAAACACAAACCCTTGAATTTACTACCCTTCTTGCAAATTTTCCTGGCCAGCTGCTGTGGACAGCTTGTTACCACTGAAGCCAAACTTGGGCCTTTTCAACAAGATGATTAGGGATCTAACTGGGAGCAAGAAAATTCACACCACCCTCGGCTCCAGCTGACGTCAGTGGATTCAGCAGGAGCTGCAGCTGCTCCACGTCTCTCTGAGCCTTCCAGCATGGGGGCTTAAATACAGCATAAATTAAGATTCATGTGCAGCAGTGGGAAAACACTCCTGCTGTAGGATCGCTCACCAGATCCACTGCAGGGCTCATCCCTGGGGGATGGCTTCCTGCAGGGCCTGAGAGCCCACAGCACTGCCCACAGCACCCTGCAGTGCCTCCAGAGCTCTTGTGCAAGAGGGCACCTCCGGGGCAGCCAGCAGGCACCACGCCCAGAGGGAAACCCTGAGAAGCTGCACAATGCTCTTGGTGCATCAGCATCTGGCCCTGAACACAAGTGGCTGCGATGGCAGCTCCCAGAGCACGCAGGAACCCAGCTGTGCATCCCAGCAGCCTCCTGGCACTGCACACATTATTCCCTTTCCTTATCATCACAAATCCAAGGTCTTCCAGCAATAATTTCCCAAAACCCAGGACACAGCGAGAGCAGCCCATAGTTTGGACAACCCAGAGCAAGTCCATCAGCTGCAGCTTCTGCTCCAGTGGTTATTTATAGAAAGCAGAACAACTCCAGTAAAAGAAACCAAAACAAAAACGCAACTAGGACAGCAAGGAGTTCACCTCTCCCTTCACTGCAAGGGAGAAGCTGAGCAGGGATTTGACCACATTCATGGACTAGATGTAATCCTGCTGGTGCTAAACCCCAGTTTCACTAGCACAGCTCTGATGAATTCATCCAGGAGCAGGAATGTGTCCTGGGATCTACAGGATCTGAGAGCAATTGGAGGGCAGGGACCATCCAGAAGACCCTCAGACCACGCAGGGATTGTATGAAAACAGCCACCACTTTCAGTGGACTGCTGACCTGATCTTAATTTAAGTATATTTTCAGGGGCTTTAGAAATACCTGTTGCTGTGTTTTAGTTGCAATGTACTTTCCCAGGCATGAATATGTGTGTATATAACCCAGGGCAGACTTCACATATCCAACACAGGAGCCTCCATCCAAATCCCCATTTGACTCCAAAAGGAGTTCTGTGACCAGAAAGGACTGTAGTAACAGCCCCCTGGTATTTTACTGCATTTCTGGTGATGGGATAATACAGCAAATTAGCAAATATATTATTTGTATTTGTTAGAAAAATGGAAAGTGCATCATTCCTAAACTGCAGAGATGCACAGCTTTCAGGATCAACTCCAAAAGCTTTAACAGCCCACCTAAAGTCTGTCAGGCTGCTGGTTACTTGTCATTTTTTGGCAATTAGAACAGAAAAGTCCTTGTACTCATCAAAAACCTAGAGGCAAATCAAAAAACCCACCAACAAAAGAAAACGCTAAGGAAATCCACATTTCCAACAAAACAAGGGAAAATTCATCCCCCAGATGGGAAAGGACTGAGGAGGCAGCAGGTCCAGAGGCTGAGAAAGCACTGCCAACACCATTGGAGGCACTTGTTTCCTGACCACCCACATGAAAACAAGGGCTCTGCCCCGGGGGCCAGCAAGGAAGGTTCCAGAAGAAGCCACTGGAGCAGTTTTATCTTGGTCCCACCTACTCAAAGCTCACAGCAAAAAGCACCACAGGAAAAGCTGCTGAAGCAGTTTAATATCAAACTGTGGCTGCACAGCTTCAGAGTGCTGTGTGGAGGAGGTGCTGGCCAGCCAAATTCAGAGTCTCCCGTTTATTTTTTCCCAGGGCTCTCAGCTGGGCTGGCTGATGCACTCCAGAGCACACCCACAGATGCTGCACGGCTGCTGTGGCTTTTCTGGAGACATATCACAGACAAGAAACCCCAGCCAGAGGTGAAAGTGGCCCAAAAGACATCAAACTACCGCTGTCTAACTGCATCCTTGTGAGACACCATCAAGTCCAAGAAAGACAAAAGAAATGAATGTCATGCAGAAATACCATTTCCAGAAGGCAAATTTGTAGCTTCTGGAATTTGTCAGAGGTTTTCCAGCAAAAGCCAATCTGCTTTCCACAGGCAGCATGGTGGATGCAGCTATGCCAGGTTTCTGTCCAACAACTGCTTTAATGAAACTTTAAGTCTGAATCCAAATTCTTTGCTCAGACTGCAAGGAGAGCCACTGCAGCACAGACTAAAAGCCTGTCTAGCTTCACACTGCTTTCCTATCTAGTAAGTTCTTGCTGTGAGGACTTGCTTTTAAATAGCTTTGTGGAGGCATGAGACAGCTGGAGGCTTCTTCCAGGCTCTCTGTGCATCACCTCAGCTTGTAAAGCCTGAGCATTGATGTGCCATCCCCTACCAAGACCAGCGCCCAACAGCAAGCTGCCAGGGGAGAGCAAAAAGACAGGGGTTTGGCTCTCAAGGCATAAAACCCTTGCATTATGGATTTGGAGAAGTTAAAACTGATTCTGAGCATGCAAAATCACAACATTTTCAATTAAAATGCTAACTGGTTCCTTTTTTGTTTGCTTTACATGCACAGCCCAGTTCACTCCAACAACATTTTTCAGAATGGTTAAACACCAATTAAAAACATGTAGCAAACAGCCTCTGTCAGTACTACCTTAACCTTGTAGCAATTTCCTTTGGAAATTAAAGGAATCAATATGAATTAACAGGTTTACAAGCTAACAGCAAAGTGAAAATGAACAAGGAGAGAAAACGCCGTGGCTGGTCAGGACTGAAGGACTGGGCAGATCTCAGCACTGGGGGAACTCAAAAGAATTCCCAAGGCTGAGTGGCCAATTTGAGCCACCACAGGAGGCTCCACCACTTGGGAATGAGTTGATGAGCAGCCACTCCAAGTGGCCACACTGCAGCACCTCAAACTTCACACCCAAGGCATCAGGCACTTCTGAAAGCTGCGAATGTAAAATCTGAAAACACTTATTAATAACAAGAAGCCTGAGCAAAACTCAATCTTACCCCTCTGGGCATTATGTAATAAAGTCTTTATAACGTTTTTGTTATCTATAAAGCACTGGCAAAAGAAGGTGGCAGAGGAAGTGGTGAGAAGCACTGACTTTTTTTTTTGCACCCCTGATTGCCACTGTGCCCCACACATGGGAGAGGAGGGGGCCATGCTGACCTCACACCTGGCTGAGGTGATGGGTTTGGTTGCTCCTCTACCAAATGTACCAAACTTTAAATGATTTTAAAAAAATAAAATAAATCCAGAGCAATTTTCCCTCTGCACATCTTAATCAGTAAGAGCAGCCACTTCAGCTAATAACTGTTGTTCTTTAGATGAGTACATGGATGACTCCTCAAGGCATGCACCTCTCTCTGATGTCTCAGCTCATTCCAGATACAACCACCCAGCACAACTCATGCCATCTCCTTCTGCCCCGTTTTTCTGTGCTGACAGTCAGTACATTGAACTCTCTGCATGAGGAGCAGATGTAGCTCCCACTTGTCCAAGCACGGAGAGAGGAGCAGAGCAAAGCGCTGCAGCTCATTCGCAATTCCACAGGATGAGGCTCTGCATTCCCAAATCAAGCAACAGAAAACGATGGTGAGTACTGGGCAGGGACAGGGAGGTACTTCCAGTTCTGCAAAAGCCCAGTAAGATATTATCTCACTGTCTTCTATCAGTTTTCAGCCAAGTCAAAGACTGAACAACAACTTTTTCCTTTGCTTTTACTCAAGAGTGAGTACCTGCCACTGAGTGGTGACTCAAAACTCAGCCGTGTGCTTGCAATGTCTCTGCCCCATAAAAATCCACATCACAGCTCTCCATCTGCTGCTGTGGTGTACCAAGCTGGGCCTTGATCACTCGTGAACATCCAAGGAGAGGTTTTGTGGTTTAAATTCCACACCCACAGCTCTTTGGGCCAACATTGCATGGTGTAGGAACAACCCAGAGTCTGGTACTCATTTCACTGTCAGGGACTCCCCACAGGTGCAGGAGCTGGCTGCTCTGGTCACTGTCCCTGGGGCATGGGTCAGTGCTGGCAGACTGAAGATAAGAGGAAAGAACAGAAGGGGATTTTTTTCTTTTGGTCAGGTAATATTTTTATCTATGAACAGCTGGTAAACTTTCCCTGGGCAAATCCAGAGCACCCCTCCAACTTCTCTAACCTTTGCCAAGTGTCATGCAGAACCAGGAAGCCACAGTGGGGTTTCTGAAGGATACAGAAGCCAAATGCACCAAGCAAACAGTGTGAATTTCTCAAAGAGACAGCCACAACATTGTAGGCAAGAAGAAAAAACGACAAGTTGGCACTGCAGCACTTCTCCCTCTTGCCCTGAACTTCACAATTCTTCATGCAACCAAAGCAGAGGGATTCCAGAAACAGCATTATAAAATTAAGCTTCAAATGAACAAACAGCTGTCCAGGCACTGCAGCTGTCCAGCATGTGCTGCTGTTGGAATTAGAAGCACCAAAACCTCTTGATGCTGCAGAACATGGTTGGAATCCTTGCCAGAGCTGGATGGAGATGTCACCCATGGCGATGTTTCCCAGGGCTGTGAGCGGGGAACAGCTCATGCTATTGCAGTGACTGGACTGCAGCGAGGCGGGGAAAAAGCTAAATATACATTCCTGTAAAAAGCAGCACTCCCCTGCACTTGTTTAGCATGCATCTGCTGAGAGGCACAGAGAGCCCTGAACTACAGACAGAAAAACACAACCTGGCACAGCATCCTTGAGACACTCCCAGGGTGTAATGTGCCCACAGCTGCTGATCCTGCAGCAGTGTCAGGAGATTGTCTGCTCCTGTGAGAGGTCACATCCATCCCATTGCACCCTGCTGTTATGGCAGGGACCCAGCAGTGCTGCTCCAGAGAGCCCCTGCAAGAGCAGAGCTGCAGGCTGAGTACAGAAATCAGGCCATGCAGGCTGGTAATTGTCCCAGCGCAGAACAGGCACAAGCTGGGACCAGAAAAGGGTCAGAAATTAATCTTCCAGCTGCTCCCAGGAAAGATGGGCCTTGCCTCATCCTCCCAACGAATCGGTAAATAACCAAAAGGAAACAACACACCAAAACCCTTTCAATCCCCTGCTGCAGCTTCTCGCAGCTTCCCAGCGCGGAGCCGCTCCGTGGGGCACGGGCACGGGCTGTGGGTGGAGTGGCTGCCCCAGCAGGGTCCCTGTGAGCTCAGACAGCCCTGGCAGGGCTTGGCTGGAGCTGAGCCACCGCCTGGCAGAGCTGGCCAGGGCTCACAGCTCTGCAGGGTGGAGGGGAGAGCAGCACAGCAGCAAAGCTGAGTTACAGAGGCCAAACCAGCACAGAGCCAGCACAGGCGCTCCTGCCAGCCCCACAGCAGCAGGGATGGGAATGCTGGAGGGCTCCACGCTGCCTGAGAGCACGAGCAGCTCCTGCTGTCTCTCAGGCTGAGCAGTGCAAGGAGAGCTGGGTGTGACTGGCACCCAGATCTCAGGACACACCTGAGATCCCTGCTCCCTGCCACGCTCCTCCAGCACCGGCTCTGCACCCCTCAGGTCATGGAAAAGAACCAGAACTCTGCTCCTGGGCAACCTGAGTTAGGCAGCATCTAACTGAACTTAGCTGAGACTTGGGAGTAAACAAAATCAAAATCCCCTAGCCTATCCCCAATTTCTCCTACCAATCTTGCTTCTCCAACCCCAACATGACAAGCACTCAAAATGGCACAGCACAGAACTGCTGGGGTTCTGGAGGTCAGAACATCACATAAATGCATGCTCTTTTCTTGCCAGGCCAGGCAGCTCCACTCACACAAAAATAAAAAAACACCTTGGTACACAGCAGGACTGGACCCTAAAAGCCAAATTCCGTTCATCCCCTTGCACCCTGCATGGTACAGCACGTTCTGGCTGCTCAGCTTCGTGCTCTACAAGTCCACCCCAACCCAGTGGGGAGGTTTACTCCACACTGTATGGACTCACAGCCTTTTAGCTGCCTTCATGGAGGACATTATTTGTCATCTAGGTGAAAAAAAACAACACAACCCCCCCAGAATTTTTGCATTACAAATAACCCAGCATCTCACACAGAAGATTAGCAAGTTCTGCTTTGATGCAGAAGAGGGATTTGAAAAGACAGAAGAAATCAATGGGTAGAAATTGGCATTCTTGTAGCTTTAGAAACTCGGAAGAGTCTGGGGAACAGACAAACTATTGACTCCCCTGCATCATCTCAACTGTACTTATTAAACAAGATCCCACACGTAGCATAAACTCTACCATATGCATGCAGAAGGAAAAACATTTTCAGGACCTTTTATAAATGAAACCTCCGCTGTGGCTAAAAAAAAAAAAAGAGTATTATGCTTAAACTAAAGTATTAGTAGATCTGAGGCTGCAGCTGCACAAACAAATAAATGTTGTTTACCAGCAGAAGATTTTACTTACTGGCAGTCAAGATACGTTGGTTTGTAATAAAACGGTGGCATTTTAGATTCATATTTTGCTTTTGCTACGTTGTTTCCATTTGAGGCCATAAACTGTAAAAAGAGAAAAAAAACAAAGGATTTTAAAAATGTTAACAGTATTTTCCTCTATTCTGTTTTACTTCTACAGAGCAGTAAAATTTTTGGGATGGGGGACCTGTTCACTTACTGAGAGGTTTGCCCAGGACTGTGCACAGAAGGGTTGCTGTAAAAACTGTGCCTGCAAACCAGGGCTCAGAAATAAATATTGGTTATTATTGCTAGGGATCCTACAGCTTAAAATGATACTGAGGACATGTCCCAGTCCCACCTGCATGATCCCCACAGGAGCAGGAGGCAGCACACAGTGGCATTTCCCCCACACAGGCATGGGAATCAGATGGCTCCCAGGAATCCAATATGGGAATGAGGAAACCAGAGGGCAAAACCTCACACGGGGTTTTAGACTCCATGTGTTACAGCTCCAGCAGGGTGAGAGCCTCTGACAACACATCCTGTGCTTCACATCACATCACTTGTGCCAAAAGGATGATTTTGTTTTTGCAAAGTCATTGCAGCTACCTCAGGAAGGAGCTTGAAGCGATAGACAAATAAATAAATAAACAGTCAAATAAATATATAAAAGTTCTGTCTGACTTGACAGCCCTCCTTTCCAACAAATAAATATATAATGTTTATATCTCCCTTGCCAGCTCTCCTTTTCTTCTGACACACAAATGGCTAGTTGAGAACTCAGCGAAGAAAAACTCCTTATTTCCTTATTCATATATTTTATTTTTTAAAATTCAATTTATAAGTATAAAAACCCCATTCTTTTCCAGGCAGCCATGCTAAATACGTTTTGTTTTGTGTCAAATGCCAAGTATAGAAACATAACAAGCAGCTAAGCTTTTTTTTGTTTTTATTATTGTCATGGTTTTGAATTTCTCATATTTACATATTCAATCTATTCCCCCAAGAAATATCAGGGAAGGAAATACCCATGCAACACTAAGGCCTATTCTCATAAAACACACAACTCCATGAGGTGCAGCTTTCAGAAAAACCTCAACTCTACACATAGAAGACAGAAATCAATGACTGGTAGAGATCTTCATGCCTTTGAAAACACCAGTAGTCAAAGCAGAAAGGTTTCCTGGGTGCCTTTAGCAGCACTACACAAATCTAGGCTGGTTTGGGGCATAAACAGAGAGGATTTCTATTGTGAGTGTTTGGTTTTTCAAGCTGTGAATTTAAGAGGAACAAAGCCAGCAGTAGCTGAGCAGGGGTGGTAGACCAGAGATATTATAAGAAGCAAGAGAAGACAACTCATTAAAAATTAGTAATTTCTACATGCTATTTTTCTGACATTTTTATAGGGGTGGGGGAAACCCTCACAAATCCTTCACCAAATGGGCACTCCATGTCAATCAGCATCACAGCCCTCATTCCCACATTCACCATCCAGACACGCTTTCTGAAATCACACTTGTTGTGAAATCACATCTTTAGAAATCACATCTGAAATCACATCTTCAGAAAGGGCTGCAAGGGGAAGAGCCCAAACCCCCTGGTGCTCCCAGGTGCACGTACCTCCACCTGGGCATCATCCCAGTCATCCAGGCGCACCGACTTCACCTTGCTGACCTGGGGAATGCTGCGGTGGATTCCTGAACAGTTCAAGCAGATGAAGATCCCGAGGCTGTGGGATGCCCAGTCGGGGTCTGGAAGCAAGAAGGAGAGAGGGAATTGCACTTGACTGATCTGTTGGATTCAGGGCAGCAGGAGGCAGAGACAGGGCATGGCAGAGGAGTTCAGGAGTTCACCAGGTCTGATGTCCCTGAGTCTAAAGGCATCAGATAAATATACAAGGAAAATAAATGTTGATATTGATAGGAATACAAATTAAACTAACAATTAACAGATCTGCAATCCCCAATGCAGCTGTTATTCCTCAAACTCCAATATACAGACACCTGCATGTGCCCAAGACCTCCATAACTCACTCCATGCTCACATGAAGAGGGGAATATCTGTCTTTCATGAGGAAATTCCACTTAAACACTGCATGGAACAGAAACTGCATCAGCTCAGGGAGGCTGCTATGCTGCTCCCTTTTTATGTATTTATTTCATGTGCTCCACACAGAGACTTTCCTCCCACAGCTGCAGCTCCCAGCAGCCCAGCCCTCCATGCCAGGAGGTTTCCAGCCCTTGCCTTGATGGAAAAATGCTGCCAGTGGTAGCTCTGTACTTTCTCTGAGCAAACCACACACTGTTCACAGCCCCGGGCTGACATCTCACACAAAGCACTGGAAACACGAGTCCCTTGCCTCCAAATTCCTCCTTGGGAGAGGCACTGCCCGAAGAAGGGAGACAGAGGGACGGGAGGGGAGCAGGACACATCCAGCAGTGTCCCTGGCACTGCCTTGCCAATAAAGCCAATACAGGGATCTTTGTTTGAACTCCAAGGCAAATGTCAGCGCCTGCGGAGCCAGCTGCGCCCCAGCAGAAAGAGCTTCACTGCAGGTCACCCAGCCAGACACTAAATCCTCCATCCTCCCCAAACCCACAGGGCTGGGAGCCCCTCAGCCAGCCCAGGCTGTCGAGGGGTAAGGGCAGGTCTTCCCTTCCCACAGCCCCTCGTCACCTGTTTATTCCCCACTGTACCTGCACTGAGCCCTCACTCCCCACAGCACAGCAATTATTTATAAAAGGCAAGGGAACGTGCTTTCTCCTCCTGATCCATATTTAATGCTCTGGCTGTGTCAGTGCAGGGAGCAGGCTGGCACGGGGCAGCTCAGCTCCTGAGGGGGAGCCACGGGCTGCCACCAACCTCGCCTGCAGGGACGGCCACCAGCCTGCCCCTTGGGAAGGGCAGCTCAGTTCTCCAGGGGTGGCTGTGCTCAGATGTAAACCCCTGTGCTAAAGAAGGATTCTCATCAGACACAGCTGGCTGCCCACGTGGGAGAGGGAAAAAAATTCCCAAGCTGATACAAGTCCCACCAGCCACCAGCAGACACAGAGGTGGGTTTTCTTCTGTCTCACGTGGTCTCCTATCCTCATCTGAGACCCCAGCGACTACAACTCAAGCCTGGCAAGTGTAAAAGCAGTCAGGTTGATCCAAGGGCCTGGTGCTGCCCACCCTGCTCCTTCCACAAGCAGTGGGTGACTCAGCTTCACACCCCATCCCACACCCCCACTCCTCCCAACCTCCGAGACTGTGGCCAGTGACTGGGCAGCAAGAACCAAGAGCTTGGCATGCTCAGGCACTTTCTGTGCTCTAACTCGTCTTGCTGTCCTCTCTCATCTCCAAACACATTTGTAATCAAAGTCTGGGACCCTCCAAACTTCCTGCCACAAAAACATCCCAAGGTTCAGCCCTGCTGAAGGGTCCCAAAGGGCACAAGGCAGGCAAGGTGAAAGCACCAGGGTCTCGTGTTCAAGCAGCCATCGCTGACCTGAGTGCTGAGGATCAGAGACACGGAATGCTAAGGGATACCATGGAGTGGTAAGAGGGTCCAGAGGACAGAGCCATGGCAGCAAAGGTTGGAGCTGGGTCCCTGGGCTCAGAACATTCCAGGATAAATGAGCTTTAGTCCTTCCCAGAGTAATGAGATCTGATCAAAGCACTGCCCAACCCAGGGAAACATTTCAAAGTATGCACTGGCCAATAAAACATGTTTTATTGGGAGTCCCATGCCTTTTAAATGTTACCAGATTTATCTTAGGGATGCAGATGGATTTCTTCATGTTGTCTGCAGCTTCGTGGAGTCAGGCTTCCAAAGTCCTCCCCGAGAGGTAACCCCTCCCCTGCCTGCACTGCTGTGTGTGACAGGAGCAGGGGACTCCACACCTTCCTCCAGCCTGGGAGGGGAACACTTCCTGCTGTAGGAACATCCTGCAAGAAGATTCTGGAGGAGACTCCAGCTCCAGTGGCCACCAAGTCAGCTCATATCCAAACTGTCTCCTCTTGGCATGGGTGAACAGCATCTCAAGCAACAGGTTTCAGTCACACCTGGGCTTTAAAGCATTCTCCTCACACCAGCAGGCTCTTCTTCAGACCAGACTCTTAAACACACTTCCCCCTGCTCCACACCTCGGCAAGCCCTGTCTAATTAAGAAAACAAAAGCTGGATTATATCACAGGGTACATACACACACCTATATCACATCACAGACAACGGGCTCAGTGGTGGCCCAGCCTTGGAAGGGATGCTCTCAGCTTGTTCAATAAACCACAGCCAGTAGCTATCTCCTCCTGGTCACCTTCCTGTCAGCATTTCCCCTCCTGCCTAGACCCAAATCCACATCCATCCAACACCACCAGTGTCCCACACAGCAGATTTCAAGGAGGACCATGACAGAGATGAACATTTCACCTGCCCCACCAGACCTGACCCCAGCCATTCACACCTCTGCCAGGTATTAATAGCAACTTCCTCCTCACTGCTCTTCTGGTTTTAGAAATATGTCTTTCGTGGCAAGGGTGGGTGGAAGAACCGTGGATGCTCAGCTGGGTTTGTGCTGCTCTCCCGTCACAGTCCAAAACCACCCACATTTGGTGACTGGGTTTAGTCCCAAAGGAAACACCAGGCAGGAGGAGAGTTCAGAGGCCTCAGGTACCAATTTAGCCACATCCAAAACACTGCTGGGTAGTGAAAACCCCCAGAACGAACTGATCTGCCAGGGCAAGTCTCTCTGAAATGTCACTGTTACCATAATCTGAGATTTCTCATGGCTCTTGCTCTCCTGGCTGAGGACATCTAACAGAAAACAAGGCAGCCCAAACCTTTCCCAGGGTTTAGTTGAAAGCCAGAAGGAATTTCTCAGCATCATCTGAACAAACCATAGGGTTATAGAGCCATGGGAGCCCTCGGGCTCGTGCTCCCCTGTGACCTCCCCGTGCCAGGGCTCTGCCTGTGGGCAGGAAGCAGGGGGTGGAGGATTCCCCAACCCCAGCTTCTGGAGGGATCTGCCAATGCTGCTTCCCCTTCTCTCCCACCCCCTGCACTCATGACACCGTTGTCCAAGAAATCCAGCAAGGAGACCGCCACACCCACACGTCTTCTGCAGGGACTGGTGACAGAGCCCGGCCATGCCAGCCAGGACCAGCGCCCACGGCTGCAGGGATGCTTCTCCAAAGCCTTTTAAAGGGTTTGGGGCTGTCAGTGGCTGTGTTGCTCCCCAAACACATCATGCTCTGTCTCTCTGCTCTCCAGCACAAGTTCTCAGCTCAGGGACACGGTGGATAACACCAGTGATCCCCAGCCTCCGCTTACCACAGACTCCAACCCTTCAAAAGACTGCACCAGAGATAAGACAACATCTTGTCAAACATAAAAGTAAATTTTCATAACTGTTCTCACACAAAACAGTGAATTTTGGGGCAGGACCATTAATTCAGTGAGCCAACGGCCCCAGGCTGCATGGCTGGCAAGTTGAGTCTCCAAAAGCAGGTGAAGTCCACCTTGCTGCTGGACACTTCAACAGCTGGAACACATTCTCCACGCTGGATATTACTGAGAGCTCAGTAATTTTATTATTCTGTCTGGGCATGTGCCAAAAAAGTGCACTAAAATGGCGATATGTCATAATCTGGGTTTTTTGGGCATTGCTCAAAAAAGATTATTTTTTTCCTAAGCCTCCAGAATTTTGAACAAACAGTAGTGAAGCCTAATGAAAACTCTCCAGCATGCCTAAGTTCCACACAAATTACTTTATTCCATTATTTCAAGCCAAAAGGAATAAAAATGAACGAGGAGCAATGGGAACATTAAACCAAATACACTGCTGTAAGTGCAGAAAGACTCCTACCCTGAATGACCAATTCCAGCTCTAAAAGGCTTTCACTGCTCAATGTGGTAGAGATTCTTGGTAACTTATAAACAGATTATAATGCCTTTCAAAATAAAGATGTGGGTCAGCTTCATTTTAAAAATGAAGGAAGCAAAGAAAGCCAAATTAAACTCAGGAGAAGGGCACTGGGCTGGTATTTTCCCATATCATTAATCTGAAAGCAAAGGCATAGCCAGAGATTAAAGAAGCATCCGAAACAAAACTAAAACACTTGGGCAATACAGCAGAATTCAGAAATTAACTTCTCCACCCAGCCCTTTTTACCACCACAAGCCTCAGGAAAACCCAGCACAGTGAACCATGAACATCACAGCTTGAACCCAGCATTCCTGAACTTAGGGAAAAAGAAGAAAAATGAAGGCTAGACACAGAAAATATTACAGAAGAAAAACCAACGTAAGACACAGGATGACTTATAGAAACCAAAGAGATTGGAAGCTGGATGGTAATGGATTTTAAAAAAACAAATAATCCGTATTTCCTTTATCCAGAATATAAATGTGGGGTTCCAGTTGGAAAATCCCCAGATGCCATCAATCCAAGTAAAATCCCATGAAACAGAGCAGCAACAGGCTCAAAGTAGACAAAAGCAAGAACTCAAAGAGTCACAAAATTGGATGTTCCTGCTCCACTTTTTGCCTTAAACTACATTTATCCCTGTTTATAGGACAACATTGAAGACCAAGGCAAACACCTGAGGCCCATGCACAGCAACACATCCTCAGCAAGTTCTTCAGCACACAAATGATGGCCTGACCCTCAGCGAGCTGCCCCTGCAGCATCCCTGCCACACCAGCTGGGCAGGAGCTGGCCTTTGTTTGGGATGCAGATTCAATGGATTTTCCTGAGCCCTCTCCTGTTTGAGG